TCTTTCTGATTGGTGTGATCCCTGCTGCCCTCTCCCACTCCCCGCCCTCCCCAACACACACAAGGGATCCTTCCTGCAGGGCAGGGTCAACGCCACACTGGGTGTGGTATTCTGTGATGCTCCCCAATGACACAAAGCACAACGTAGGCGGTCACACACCTCTGTGACCCCCCATGTCCTCCTCCTACTCTCCTGTTCCCGAGCCCGCCTTCTGCCTTTCATGCTCTGGGGGAACTTGGCAAGTCAGCCAGCAACCAGATGAACGTACTGCCTTAAGTTTTCTCTAAAACAGCTGGCAGGATGAAAAGGAAATGAAGAGTTTGTTTCTTCGATTGAGGCCAAGGAGGTAGGTTGAGAAGTTTGCATTCCAAGGGACATTCTGCTGCAAAGGAAATGGTACCTGGGAAGGGGACGTCTGTGGACAAGACGGGGAGCAGAGTCAGACATCCCCGATTTGTATAAATCACACAGAGTGCTGGACAGAAAGATCAAACATTTAGCCTTTCAATGTGAGGTGTATATCGTGTTTACGGTAACGTTTTCCTTCTGGAAGGTTCGGATGGTAAGTCTGGATGAACAACGCATGGCTAGCCGTGTAGCCGTGTGTTTGTCAGGTTGTGGGGGACCGACCGGGCACAGGACTCGAAAGTGCAGTGTCAGTCAGTGGATTCGATCTGTGCTGCCAAGAATAAGCCACCTCCAAACACAGCCTACACCTGCATGGAATTAATTCCAGCTCTCTACGTGCGATGGGGGAGGAAGCGTGAGCTTAATCTGTATCATATGTCTCGGAAAAGCTCCAGACAGACACCAGCCTGCAGTGAGAAATGTGGATTTTTCAGTTCCTAATGTTTAAAGGGTAACATTTCCTTCGTTTCATAAAACAGAATGAAGGCCTTTTTTGGGACCTGTTTTTAAAGGAAATCTTGAGGGAGTGACTTGTGTAGGCATTGGCTGCTGTCAGGAAAAAAAGATACCAGCAAATGGAAATATTTTGCCTCAGATTCCATGGTCTGTTAAAGACAGTCCCAGTTTGACATGGTGCATAGGCAAGTTGTTTAAAGAGAGACATAAAAAGCCTCAGCATGAGGGAATCCATGGGAAAAGAGCTGGCAGGCTCTGCAGATATCTGAAATTTACATGCAAAGTATTGAGTATGGGTGCATTTTCTGGGGGTTCATAGCTTTCATCAGATTCTCGAATAAGTCCATCACCCAGAAAAGTTTAGGAAATGTTTGCTGCCTTCCCCCAATGTAAATCCAAGACAGGTTAGAAAAACAACTGTGGAAGAACTCTCAACAGCCAATAAAATAAACAGAAGAGACTAGAGGTAGACCTTGACTGATAGTGAAATGGAAAGGGACTTTGCAAGCACAAAGAAAGGGGAGAATTCACACAAAAGACAAATACATTTAATAGGCAAAACTGGAATTCCTTTTACACCCCAAAATATCATAAATAAAATTTAAAGGTAAGCCAGGGAAAGGTTTGCAATAAATACCGGAAGACGGCAAATGCTCTTGGTAAGAAGATGAACTCTTACAAATCGGGAAGAACAAGTCTCTCCCAAATAGAAGAATGTACGCCAAGGGCAGGAACAATTCACGGAACGAATACAGTCAGTAGCAGCTCCATGCTGGAGCTGGCTGGTCCAAGATCATGTCAGCCAATTCTCTACTTCTCATTTGGTGACATTATGTTGATGGCCTGAAATTGGCCATGGTGGGATTTTTTACAGCAGAGAAATCACTGACAGATCAAGGCTTTTTTGTTTTTCAAGGGGCAATTTTACACCATTAGTAAACAGATATGTAAAATGCAGTCTAAGTGTGCCAGTAATCAGAGAGATACAGAATGAGATGAGGTCTGGACAAGATGGAATAAGCCCCTTTCACACCATACCTCCCGCAAATTACAACACAAAAGTCTGGAGAAAGTCCACAGAGCAACTGAAACTCTGAAAGTTGGAGAAAAAAATAAATGGACTGGCTGTCAGACCTCAGAACTCAAAGAACTACCCAAAAGTGAGCTCTTGTTTTTGTTTTTTGTTGTTTTTATGTCTTGGTCTGTGCTCTGGAGAGGTTTCTGGTCTGGAAATGCCAGTGTAACCAGAGCAAAAGGAGGCCCAAGGAAGGCCTTCTGGCTGCAGCCAATAGTTGGGGAACAGGGTGACTCAGTAAGAGCGAATCATCTTGACCGTACCCGACCTTACTCCAGCTCCAGGTGGGGAGCAGAAAAAGACATCCCCTCTGCCCCCAATTGGTCACCACATCCTGGAGATGGCAGAGTCCTGCTTCCCAATCCTGCTTACTATAACAGGCCACATCTCTTCCCTGGAACAGAGACTCTGGGCTAAACTTTTCAGTAGATTTCCAATCACCACAGAGGCCAGAAGGAAGTGGAACATTTTTCATATGTCAAAAAAAAAATAGTCAACCAAGAATTCTATATCCAGTGAAAATATCCTTCAGGAGCAAAGGTGAAATAGACATCTTTGGATGAAGGAGAACCAAAGGAGCATGTCACCAGTGGACCTGTTTTAACAGAATAGTTAATGTTTCTCAGACAGTAAAGAACTGATAACAGAAAGAAACTGAGAATATCAGGAAGAAAGGAAGATGAGAAAGGGTGGATAAATGAGTAGAGGTAGTAGACTGTAGTCTTCAGTTTTAGAACTTGGTTTTAAGCAACTCTGCTTCATGGTTGAAAGCAAAATTATAGCATCTGAAGTGGTTCTGAGTGCACATGAAGGTAACACTTAAGACATCTATGTGATAAAGGGAGAGGATAAAGAAGGCTCAAAGGTGGTAATGTTTTTACACTTGAAGGGACAACGTACCAATACTAGTAGACTGTGATAAATTACATCCATACGGTATAACCTTTAGAGCACCAGCTTTTCAGTCAGGTGATTTTGTCCACCAGGGGACATCTGGCAAAGTTCAAAGACATGGTTTCATGTGCAACTGCCATCTTGGTAGAAACGAAGATGCTGCTAAGCATTCCACAACACACACAACAGTCCCATAGAACAAAACGTTACCCAGCCCCAAATGCCAACAATGCTGAGGTTGCAAAAGCCTGCCTTATGGCAAATTACACAAAGACATATCTTAAAACACTGTAGATCAATCAACAGGGAACACTGAAAAATGTTCAACCGACCTACAGGAATTCAGGAAAGAGGAGCACAATAAACAAAAATCAGAGGGAACAAACAATATTAAAATGGTAGACAGGTTCTAACACACCCATAATTGCATTAAAAGTAAATGATCTAAACATACTTATTAAAAGACAGTGACTGACAGAATGGATGACCCAGCTACATGTGGTCTCTGAGAAACTCATTTTCAATACAATGACATAGGAAAAGTAAGAGTAGAAAGGTGGGAAAAGACATATCTTGCAAACACGAATCAAGAGAAAACTGAAGTGGGTATATGAGGAAGAGATAAAGTAGACTTTAGAACAAAGGTAAATACCAGAACTAAAGAGGACCAGGACATAATGACAAAAGAGTCCATTCACCAAGAAAACACAACAATCTTAACTCTGTGTACCACAAACACCAGAGCTTCAACATGCATGAAGGAAAAACTGATGGACTGAAAAGAGACACATTCATCATTGAAGACATCAACATCCCCTTTGAGTAAGCGACGGAACCACTAGACAGAAAAAAATGAGTTTTTTTTAAAAATATCAATTTGACAAAGCTTTGAAATGGTAAGACTTAGAACCAGCAAAGTCATGGAGACAGAGATGCTCTGTAATAATGTGGAAATACAAATATACATAGGGGTCCTGAAAAAATATTTAATTTATATGTTAAGAGGCTTAAAAGGATTATAGCACTTTTCAACCCAATACTTTCATTTTTAAGAAGATCTCCTAAGGGAATAATTAAAGTGTCCCAAAACTTATCTGTCTACATCTTCACAACAGAACTATTTATAATAGAACTTAGAACCATCCAAACTTGCCCACTAATTGGCAAGTGCTTAAAAAACTATTCTACCTAAATATACAGTGCTATTGTTAAAGAGACATGTTTAAGAATTTTTAGTGCTGTGGTAAATAGGAATGATTTTCAGGCAAAAAAGTAGTCTGTAAAGCAATGTACATACAGAATAATCTAAATTATGTTAAAAATACACATGAAATTCTTAAATACAACAATTACTAGAAGTATGACAATGATAACAGGGAAAAATTATCAGGGATTATGTCTCTGTGTTTTGCATGTGCTTGTTTTTACTGTCTGCCCACCTCAAATTTTAATCCTGAAGTGATGTCTTATTCATGGTCATAACAAACAGAAACCATCAACTTCTAAAACAGCATAAAAATGAGATAGATGACAGATATGGAGGATGTAATACTGTGCTGCGTCTGGGAGGGAGAGACTTGGTGGATGGTAAAAGTCTTGTCATTTTGAGAATAAAAAAAGGGTAAGAAAGTATGCCCACCAATATTCCTGAGTGACCATCTTTTTTTGTTTTAAATATTTTACTTATTTGGGGGAGAGAGAGAGAGAGCGTAACCAAGCAGGGGCAGAGGGAGAAGGAGAAGCAGACTCCCCACTGACAGGGAGCCCGATGCGGGGCTCAGGACCCTGAGATCACGACCCAAGCTGAAGACAGATGCTTAACGACTGAGTCTCCCTCCCCACCCCGACCCCTGAGGTGACCATCTCTGATTTATTATGCAGGCCCTATTAGTAGCAGCGTCCTGTTCTTCTGAGAGTTTGGATTAGGTGGTAAGAGAGGCAGCTGCCTCGGCTATTCTGAATGCACAGATATTCCTGATAAAACACACGTATTGTGACTACACCGAGCATTGTACTAAATGCTTGTCATGGCTTATCTCGTTTAACCATCCGAGGAGCTGAGTTATCTACATTTCACGGAGGCCCTGGCAAGCGGACCAACCAGAGGTCAGCACGAGGGCGGGTCTGGACTTGAATGACATCCATCACATCAGCTGTGAGGGCATACCTGGGCCTGCCGGAGTGCAGGGCTGGCCGGCAGGGGTCTGGCGGGGACGAGGGGTGCACGAGGCGCCTTCTGGAGGGGCGGGAGCACTCGCTGAGGAGAACTGGGCGGAGGGGCGTCGTGGGCTTGGAGGGGCCCGCTGATGTGCACGTTCTGACACGGGGACCATCTCCTGGTATTGCCCTGCAGAGGGGAGCAAAGACATGGTGTCACGGGAGTCACCATTCCCCGGGAGGGGGTGGTGCTGACTGGTCGTGCATTCTCCGGAGAGGGAGCCCATCGTTACTTGTGCAAACTTCACAGCTGGAGCAGAAGCACCCTCTGACCCAAACTGGAATAGTGGTATCGGTTTCTCCCGGAATTTTAAAAACTGGTTTAATTCATCAACAAATAGGCACAGGACACCTGGGCAGGCGCCAGTAAGTATGACGACACAGACTACATCTGAAGGAAAGGATGGAGGAGTTGTGAACTGAGGCAGTGGGTGATGCCCTCCAGGCTCAGGGAGAACCAAGGAAACCCCTGGGAAGGACAATGGAGGCTTCTGGAAGCCGGCTGAGGTGAGGCGCCTGTACCTGGAGGGTCACCACCTACATGGTGCTTCTGCTTTTAGGGCAGATCAGAACGGATGCCTCATGCCCCCCCACCCTCCCTCTTTTCCTCCTTTCTCTTTTTCAAAAGCAGCTTTATTGAGGTTCCCGGAAAGACAGCTAATTGCACATAGCAAAACCAGGTGAAGTGGGAAACTTTGACATGTGTCCACACCAGTGAAACCATCACAACGAGCAAGATAATGACATACACTCACCGTCATCCTTCCCTCCCACTCCTCCCCATCTCCCCTTCCCTCCAACTACTGGTCTGCTTTCTGCTACGGTGAAATAGTTTGCATTTTCTAGAATTCCACAGAAACGGCATCATAGAGTATGGACTCTTCTTTTTACTTGGCATAATTATCTCGAGATTCATCTATGATGTCATATATATTAATAGTTCATTCTCTCCTATTGCTGAATAGCATTGCATGTGTAAATAGACCAAAGTTTGTTTATCCTTTTACCTGTTGTTGGAAATTTGGGCCATTTCCCATTTTTTGGCTCTTCAAAAGAAAGCTGTGTCTTTGGCTCTCACCAGTAAAGCTGGTGGTTCTTGCTATATAGTCCCACATTTGGGGCTGAGAGGTGGTAAAGCATATTAGGAACCCAGTTCTCTAAACTTTTTATAGCAACAGAGATAAAATAGCTTATGATTTATCAGATAAGTGATAGTTCTATTTAAAATCATTTGTCATTTCTTGACACCAACACTGTCACTCATAATTTGGACTCTTGTTGAATGAGTCCAATATTCAAAAATTCCCATGCATACGGCAGAAATACTTGATGGGGATACCTAAATATTGGAGTGGATTCTGGTGATAATTCACAAGGAAGCAGGAAGGGTCAGAGCCATAGACAAAGCTTACACAGCCCTGAGCTGGAGCAAAAGGGGCCCAGCCATGGGCTCCATGTAACTCTTAGAAATGCATGGGGAGGTACAGGGCCAAAGATGATTCAGACCTTGCTGGCGGCATCTGAAACCAGAGGAGGGGCCCAGAGGAAGGAACCTGCTTGGGAGGCAGACCCAGTGGGCCTCCTGGGAATTAGGTCTGGGTGTTTGGAGGGATCATGGCCCATGACGTACCACATAGCACATCACACCGGGGACACCGCCTCAACTGGATCTCAGAGAGCTTCCATGGGGCAGAGTGGGCCGTGGAAGAAGTGGAAGGAGCCCCCAGCCATTACGTCATGAAGTGGGTGGACTCCACATTTCAGGGATCTGGTCCCATCACAAACTATCTGTAGATCTTTGGGATCTATTCCTACTCAAGCTCTCTTGAGAAACCCATGTTACAAGGTGCCCACGAACTTCTCACATTTGTTGACAGCTTACCTTTGACATGCTGGAATGTGGCAGCTTCCTCATCAGGCCTTTGCTGAGGGGGCCGAGGTGAGCCTGACCGGGCTGGGAACCGCGAGACGGCCGTGAAGGGCGCACACACCTGCAACACAATCGCGTTACACATGAACAGGCGCGTTTCCCCTCTGGTTGACTTGACTTTTTCTGATCTGTTCACAATCACGCTCGAAAAAATAAGTGACTTATTTTAACTCAATAAGGAAAAATTATCTAACATTCTTACGAGATTAAAAAATATATATTGATTTTTTTTTCTCCCCAAAGCCACTACTCTGTGAAATTAGTTTTTGCAATTTCTAGACACGTGGCTCTGAGACCCCTGGGAGTTATTTGGTAGAAAGAGGCCATTTCAGCACGATTGTCTTCGAATACATTTAGATCCCAAGCTACCCCAGCTGACGAAAATATTTTAAGATCCTGTGTCTTGTAAAAATTACTAATATAAAGGTGGGAACAAATGCATTGGCGGGATTCAGCCTGCTTACTCGTGGAACGAGCAGCAAACAGTCTGAAGGGAAAGGAAAGGAGGCAGCTGGTCTGGCAAAGATTTTAAAAAACCAAAACAACGGTTTTACTAACTAAAAACCTGACCTCTTTCTTTGCTAAGGAAAACAAAGCGAGAAGAGGAGCCGTTGCCTGCACGTTGCTTGCAAATGCCGTCTCTGGAAAAAATGACCCAAACCCAGCGTACCTTAGCTTTTCAATGGTGGTTTTTTTATCTGTAAACAGCAGGCGAATTAATGTCTTCCTTTTCAGATAAACTACAAATCCAGCAGCAAGAAGACAGAGGATGGCCACCAGAATTCCTATGGTTAAACCTTGGTTATCTGAAACAAAACACATTTTGCTCAGGCAAAGAGAGTCATGATGAAATATGGGAAGTATCAGATCGTGGCCCTCACGGCCACGCGAGCTCTGAAGGAAGGAGCAGGAATGCCGCGAGTAGATGTACTGATATGTCGGTCTTGGTTCAAAGGTCATGTCTGAGGTTCAGTCTGCATCGCCAGTGATGCATTTCTGACAACTCTTGATAAACGGGAAGGTCGTCTGGCAGGTGGGACCATAACACTGACCACATGCCGCCCCCAACCTTCCTGCTGCCCCGTGGACATGGTGGCCACAGATGGTGGCAGGGAGCCGGCATATCCCTGGACAGTGACCTCTCCAGCCCCCATCAGAGATACGCTCCTTCCCACACCCTCCTCCTCTCATTCTTTAGCGCTGGGGTCTGTGTTTATTTTTTTAGACCAAGACTCTACTTCTGGACATTGTCAAAATAGGTGAGAAAACCCCACAAAATCCATAGCTAAAAGGAAAGGCCTACGGGTTTGCTTCTGTTAGATTTCGTTGTGTTTGTTACGTTAGGGACTCAAGTTACAGGTTTTGGGGGGCAAACCCCTTTCTCTGGGAGGGTACTTTTTATTTTCTCCAAGGGAACATCCCTTTTCTGGGATTTGCTCCCATTTTGTTCAGTACAAAGACACTGAGAAGCCCCCCTGAAGGGTGTGGAAGAGAAGGGAAAGTCAAAGCTTCAGGCTGGTTTCTGGCCACAGAAAGAGCCCCGGGGATGACCCTGCCAGGCTGGAGAGGAGCCGGATTGGCAGCTCCCACTGCTCTGCGGAGTCCTTGAGAGCACAGATGTGGGGTTCATGGGTCTCTGTCCCCCTGCCAGCAACGAGCAGGGCGTGCCTCCCCGGCAGGCAAGCCACAGTCCCCTCAGGCTGCTGGGGACAGCTGTGCAGGTGCCCGTCCAACCGCCCCCCCCCAACCAGGCCCTCCCCACCCTGCTGCTGGCTACGATGCTCACTGGGGCTGACTGCCAGGCCCGGCCAGCCCACTCCCGCTCTGGGAAAGAACGCCTCCCACCCTGTTTCTGGACTTCGTCCCCAACTGACAAGTCCTATCAGGGATGTGTCTCAGCCTAAGTAAGACAATCAACATATGACAGTCTTGATTCCCTTGTTAGTGTTACTGGAAAAGCCCTGCTTCTGGGTTTCCGGCCAAAACGTCATTCTTTTCAGACGGGGGCTCTGGCTAGAGCTCTGTTGTGTCTTCACAAAGCTAATGAATGAAGTCAGCAGCTACAGCACGAGCCGCAATTTCCAGCTCCTCGCAATCAATCTGCAAGTCTTAAGCTGATCAATGCAGCCAGATGAACAGTTCCTAGGCCCCGCAATGAACTTGGCTGCACCATCCGGGCCACCTGCCTTCGTCTGTCGCAGTGCATCCATCACGCCGCTCGAGCCAGCAAACCGGGGCCCGCTGGTCCCCTCACCTGGTGCAAACACCAGGTCCCATGTGGCTCACCACATTGGCCCACTTCCCCAAGTCCCCTGGTCTCCCTTCCCTTGGCAGTGCTCTTGCTGGGCCACGTTGGGCCTGCTCCGTGTCTCTGGGCCCTGGAAGAGTGGCTGGCACGTGACAGGTGCTCGAGAAGTCACAGTCAGGCTGGGGGGCGGTGGGGGCAGGGAGGCTCAGGACAGAGCTCCCCATACCTGCCTCTTTGTGTGCGTTTAAGCGTACTTTCATGCAGTCATGGTGGCAGGGGACAGAGGCACGGATGCTTCCTTGCTCCAGTGAAGGACAGGCGACTTCGGACTCCCTGGCTAATGGGGAGCCCCCACATGCGAGTACCGCGGTCAGTACCAGAGCGTCCTGGCCAATCCCCTCCAACCCTGATGTGGGGGGAATGGGGGCCTGTGCCCCATTCTGAGCAGAAGCTAGAATTCTGCCAGGTGAGCATGACACACGCTTTCTGCCGGCTCCAGATGTCAACTGCAGGGCAGGGAACGTGCCGTGGTCAGGGCGGAGACGTCAGCGAGGAAAGGGGACGCCGGCCCAGGGCTGCTTTTCTGCCCCCCCCCAACCTCCCAGAAGGAATGCTCACTAGACAGCAAGACTTCTGGTCCTTTTTGTACTTGCTGCGGGGCCTGGACCTGAGGGCGGGGTCGCCTGGAGTCTCTGAGAGGGACGCTGAGACCCGACCAGGTTTAAGGAGAAGGATGATCAGGAACTCATGACACTTACTGCAGATGTGCCCCTGGGGCAGGTCCTCCCTCTCCCCCCATCCCAGCACTGTCCTCGCCGCCTGGCCCTGCAGAGCAGTGTTATGTCTGTCGTCTTTAAGACGTGGTGATGCCACCACCAGTTACAGCAGGACGTGAGGACATGGGGTGTTCCCTGTAGCAGCACGAGCCACCAAGTGAACGTCTGAGCGTCACGGGGCTCAGGTGAGCACTGATTGTCAGCACAAGCGGGCTCGGGGCCGGCCCTCTGCACCTTTTTGATTCTTTCCCTTTACAAGGGGCGTTGTTCAGACTTGCCTCTTCCCTGCCTGACAGGTGCTCAGAGAGAGCAGCAAGGCACCTGGAGACCATGCGTCAAGGTCACCCCGGGAGAAAAGCAGTGGGGAGCAAGCGCTGCTGCTAGGAGGGTTTTTTTTAGAATTAGAGGGAGAGGGACTTGGTCTCAATCGTAGCTGTGTGGCTTTGGGGAAGTTACTTACCTCCCCGGAGTCCCAGGTCCTTTATTTGTAAAGATGGAAGAATGATAGTGGCTTGGGCATGAGGCAAGTGTCTGAGGAGATCACGCAAATGCAGCCGACGCCCAGCACGGTGACTGCACCGCACAGCTGCTCAGTGCACAGAAGCCTTCTTGCTTCCCCCGGGGGCTGCTGGGGCTGCCAACCCAGACTAGGAGGTGACTCTCTAGTAGGCGTTTTAGGAGACATTTGGCCTCGCACCTCTTGGTCCCCCATGCACTGATGCTGGGCTTTACAAAGTCCTTTCATCCCACACCCAAGTTCGTACCTGTTTGGCAGCCCCCTGTCAAAATGACCTTGGCTAAGCAAAGTGTCACAGGTGAACAAGGGACAGAGTCAGCCACTCAGCCAGAGTGGAGTGAGGACCTTGGCAAAGGTCAAGATGGGACAGAGCCTGGACATGGGCCTCGGGCTGTGTCAGGCCCTTGTGGGGGTGCACTGGGCTTCCCCCGGGGGCGGTTATACCTGCACACCCACGGACCACTGGTGAGCCCTCCGTCTTGTTTGGAAAGATCTGCACCTGCCTTACCACGGTCCCCCCCGATCACTCGGCACCCACTCCTGGGGGCATGCTGTCCCCGCTCACCTGCTCGCCGGACGGGGCCGCTGTCTGTGCTTCCCCCGAAGCCAAACTTATCACAGAACGGAGGCGCCCAGTGGGCCTCGCAGTGGCAGTTCTTGCGGTTGTTACACACCTGTCCAGGCCGCAGGGGTGGGGGACACCGAGAAAGAGGAGCAGCATTAGAGCCCACCCTCCATGAGGGGCGGTGGCAAATCTCTGAGGGCTAATTGGCTACCACACGGAAGCAAAGGCCCTGTGTCAGAGTTCCCTCAAGCACTGAATACACAGGTGGGACCAGAGCCCAAGGCTGCATATGTAACAATCTGCCTCTTGGCTGCGGTCAGGGCAATGCTGGCAATTGGGGGGGACATCCACCGCTTCCCACCCCTTTTCCCTCCATCAACTGCTATGTCCTCGTTTTCTTTTTTTTTTTTCTTTTTTACATGTCCTTTTTTTCAATTCAAAATCTCCCCCCGCCCAATGACCACAATGAGAAGCCCCCTCCATGGTAAGAAGCGACCCCGCTTCAGGGCTGCAGAATCCGAGCCCTTGGCCATCCCAGGCCTGACAACCTATGGGCACAGCCATGCCTCCTGCAGACACAAAGTTTGGAGAGGTGGTGGACCCGCTCCGATGTCTCATGCCTGCAATGCCCACCTGCCTGGGGAGTCTCCCAGCGGCCCCTCCTTGCCTCTCAGCCCCGCGGACTGGCCACAGCCGACCAAACCCTGGGGTCCTCGTGGCGGGAAAGGGGTGCTGAGAAAGCAGGAGGATGGGCTTCACTCTGGGATAGGGGGCCAGAGTCCCCCAGGGAGGGGCCAGCTCCAGCTCACCTGGTTAGCAAGGGTGACCGATGGAGGCAGCTCCCCTAGCCTGAGCTGGCCGTCAGACCCGCTGTCATTACTGCGGAACTTACGGAGCTCCTGCACGCGCAAGGGGCACAGGAGCTCAGAAACAAGAAGATATTGTTTCTCTGAAAACTGGGGGCATGCTGTGGGCACACTGGATATGGGCAAGTCGCTAAGAAGAGCTTCTGACACATCTGGAATGTGTTGCCTGCGAATGACCCTGCAGGGCTGCTCAGACCAGGAAGGATTCCGCAGTCAGGTTGCTTCTGAGCGTCCCAGGTTCTCTTCTGCTTACAGAAGTGAACTGTGCATCGCAGATGACGGGCTTTGCGTGGTTTACATAAGTCCATGCAGACAGCCAGACACCCATCCCAGAGGCCTCAGCCCTGTATCCGACTATTGCTGGATGGGGCTGAACACATACTTCTCTATTTAAGGCAAAAAGAAGATGTTTGGAGTAGAGGTCTCATTTGTGATGTTTTCCTGCTTTCACTGACTTTTTTGTTGCTATTGATGATCCAAACATCAAAAGCCCCAAGTGGGCACCTGGGTGGCTCAGTGGGTTAAAGCCTCTGCCTTCAGCTCAGGTCAAGATCTCAGGGTCCTGGGATCGAGCCCCGCATCGGGCTCTCTGCTCAGCAGGGAGCTTGCTTCCCCCACACCCCCGCGCCTGACTCTCTGCCTACTTGTGATCTCTCTCTTTCTCTCTGATAAATAAATAAAATCTTAAAAAAAAAAAAAAGCCCAATTCCTTAAAATAAGACCAACAGTCCAGACAACCTGTGATAAGTTGGAAGCTATATTCCTATAAAGTTAAACCCCTGCAGCATTGATGACCGAGTGGCCCGGCCTGTGCTGACACTGAGCGTCTTGCCTGTCTCTCAAAGATGCTGCTGCTGACCTACCACCTGCCACACACCTGCGAGGATTTGGGCCCGGCGCTGCCCACTCCGTTTTGCACAGTCTCCCAATGCAAACTGGAGTCAGGTGCCCTTTTTGCAGCTGGCAGTAGAAAGACTGGCAGCTTTGCTATCCCCTTTGGAGGCACAGCGGGTGAGCCTGGTCTCACTCGGGGAAGGCTGTGGTCAAGTGACTCATCACCAAGTCACGGCAACTGTTCTGTCAGTGTGGGCCTTTCTTCTCCAACATGTGGATGGGAGCCCAGGGACGCTGTCAGGTGAGGAGCCCAGGGTCCGCCCCCAGCATGCCTGCTACCTGGTCACGTGACCTTGGACAGGCACTACTGCCTCTCAGTCCTGGACTCCTTCATAACGAGGCTGCACCAGACCATCTCTTAAGGCCATTAGAAAGAAATCTATGATCCAATGAAGACATAAAAGGATTTTGTTTTATATTGACAGCTACACTCGCAGTCAACAAACCGGCCAGAGATGGCATTGTAATCCTTCATGGTTAGAGCACAATCGCCATTTTATGAAAACCCCATAATTCTATGTTAGAATCATTGGTGAGTGTCTGCGAGTTTTAAAAATAGAATTGGGAGCATGATTTCTGCAGAGAAGGTTTCAGAAAAACAAATGAACCCCTGGCATGGCTAATCAAGATTAATATGATTCCCATTGGAAATAATTAAGCCCATCAGAAAAAAATAAATTATGTTTTAAACAGTCAGAGTCCTCTTCTCTCCTAAAAAAATTCTCTGAACTAAAGTAACCACTTTCTTTAGTTGAAATGCATTGTGTGAGATTTCAAGAACACGTCATCAGTATGTTCTGTCTCCCTTGGTTTAACTGCTTTTGGAAGTGTTTCCGTTCAGACCCATGCTCTGAATCTTGGTCCTTAAGAGGGACAGCTCTGTTTGAAACCATAAGGCAAAATCCTTTACACAGGAAGGTGAGTTTTAAAACTACTTTGAAGATGACAAAGTCCCTTTTTTAAAAATCACAGGACGCTCATCTGAGAGATAATTACGGCTCCATCTGATTTTCTTTGTTAAATAAAAGTCACATTTCTCCTGCTATGTAAAGGTCAGAGAAAATTAGTGTCTTTAGAAGAAAGCACGGAAGCGACAGCTATATTTTTTTAGAAGTTGCGGATTGCAGAATCCTTTACAAACGAACGATTTGGTGCTTTGCTTGCTAGGGACAGGCTACAGGAAGCCCACTGGGCTGCTCACCCCTCTTTGGTGACACTGCTTCACACACTCCTGAACGCCAAAGACGCTTGTGTTTTGACAGCGACGATTGAGGCAAATCTGCGGAAGGAGGAAAACACGGTAAACGTCTCAGCCCCTTTCCAACTATACACACCATATCTGTGATCTCAAAAGGGAAAGCAAAGAAAAGTTTGAGGAAGATGATTTTCCTTCAGTTCCTATGGGGACAGCACAGCGATGCCCTTTCCATCTAACTCTGACCTGGATTTGTGCACCTGCTTGTGGACTTGGAACATTTCATCACTCAGGTCAATGTGCTTCATGTGGTTTCGTCAATTAGGAGATGAGGATAACTGATTTTTGTTTAGAGCTTGCAACAAAACCTATGAATTGCGGCATCTCCACCCCCCCCCCCCCCTGACCCCCCCACCTGCTCCTTCCATTGAAGATAAAGAAAGAAGAAATGTACCAGCCCTCGGCCTGGGGTCTGTGCAGACTCAGAGACTCCAAGAATCCAGGTCCAAGTACCTTTTAAAGGAGATACTGACACATGAGAACGTTTCCAAATTACTGACCCACAAGCACTGTCACTGCCACAAACCATCAAGGAAAAGGCTCCATGGAGGAAAACAGACAGTTCCCTTGTGTTTATCAAGCCTTTGCAGGGGTGGTAGTTTCCTAAACCATACCATGCTGGTTGTAGGAGTGTAGTCTCATCTTAAAGGTGCCTAACATACTCCAGACTCATAGGATCAGACCCTTTATTTCCTCTAAGATGTTACAAATCAGTGGAGGCAGAGGAAGAGAAGTCTAATTTTTAGATTGCAGAAGCATTTCTGATCGAGTAGAACCTCCCTACGGGAAGTTCGCACGAGTGACACACTTTGAAAATAGTGCCAGTTGCCCAGGACAACTCCCAGGGCTGCTGGGAATCATGGCCAAGGGGACTGTCACATTCCAGCTGACAAAAGAAACTGAGGTTACAGAGAACGCAGCAGGACCCGGGTCAGAACCCCTGCATATGGGTGCCGCTCTCCTCTCAACCCACGAGCAATGAAGGCCAAGGACAGCTTTCAAAGAACCCGTGTTCTGCGGGAACGGAGATGGAAGTGCATTTACTCTTGCACATGGAGGAAAAAACTCATTGACAAATTGAGGCCTTGGAATTTCAGTGTTCAGATGCACCTGGTTCTGGCTTCTGGCTGTTCAGACTACAGTTTAAAATAGGAGTGTCATTCTAATGTCAATGCCAGAAAAGAAGCTGACATGTGTGGTTAAGGAGACCCCAGGAATGTACATCGTGTTTCATGTACCATCATCCCATTTCCTTCGGGACAAGGCACTTGTGGCTCAGAGTATATGACTGAACGGGGCTGAGGGCACAGAATTCTTGCCCTGGGGACTTGGCCACGGAGCTGAATCTATCTTTCTATTTTATGACTTTCTATTCTGTGACCTCCATGTTCGTGAATGATTTCATAATCATTTTGAAAGTGGAGGTCCTTAAAAAAGGTATGTTGATTAATCCTCTTTCTTAAAATGTTTTATTAACTTGCTTTCATTTAGCCTGACGAGAAAGTCTGCTGAGAAAAATCAATGTGGCAGAATGTTAAAAAGAAACCTCAATTTCTTGTTTTGACTTCTCATTTTTGACTTTCTTTCTAAACCCCCAAATATCCCTGTCCGCTTTTCCCCCTGCTCTCCAAAAGACCTCCCTTTGGCTTCAAGCTGATTCTCTCTCTCTTCCCCTCTCCTATTCTCTCTATGGGGGGTCTCTGAAAATACATATGATTTCCCGTTCTGTCCAGGTGAGAACAAGCCGTCACTGTGCCAAAAACCAAGGCCGCATTTCCAAAAAACAATATAATAGGCTACTGTGTTTGCTTCCAAAGTGATTTCCTGGCTGGAAACACTCCTGACGTCCAGAGTGTAGAAATGACTTACTAACACTCAAAGACTGAGAAACCGAGCTTGATTTTCCCAAATCTGCATCTCCATGGTTAGGCCAGGATCTAGGGTTTATTAACTTTGCCTTCTAGGTGCAAAGAACTGGATTCCAGAGACAAAGTTCTAGGAAGGAGTAGATTTAGGAAAACAAACCGACCTCTTGAGTCAGTTCTTGGACAGGACGTTTCTCCACAGGCCCCTTCCAGACTTAAATTTATGATGTGAGGGAACATGTGGGTCTTACTTTTCCATCTGCACACTTGGTGCCGGCAAGCACAAGCCCGGGGTCCGGGAGGTCATCCCCCAAGTACACGTGGGTCCCGCGGCACAGAATCCGACCTCCTTCCCGCAGTGGGATGTTTGTTTCTATGGAGACGGCATTGGTACCAATGACGGGCCGGCTGGCACCTCCTTGACACTGGATTTTTCCACATTTAGCATCTCTGCAAGGGCGAGAACAAACAGTCCCCAAAGAGGGCAAGTCTGCGACCGGCTCTGAGCCACGTGGGAAGATCAAAGCGATGACGTGCTTGGGCGGCGGGTTCCGTACCTCATCTCGCATTTGGCAAATGAACTCTTGGAGTCCTTGCCACAGTTGCCGTACGGGTCACCTGCAGAGTTGACTCTCTCGAAGCAGATCCCGGGGGCAGGTTTAGCACCTGAAACAGAAGTCAAGCAGCACTTTTACCTCCTGCAAGGGTTTCTAATAACTCGTCGCTGACTGGTGCTGGGATTTCAGGTTAAGGGGAGATGGGCTTGGTGTGCAGAGAAATCATGCCTGCACCTTGGCTGGCTCCTGAGATGAGCGGGCCAGGGCAGCCTACCACCCTCGCCTGGCGTTGCTCGTGGTAAAGCCTGCATTTCCTAGCTCACTCTTCTCTAGGGCGGCTCTCTGGGCCCAGGGTGCGCAGCCTTTCAGGAGACGTGGCCTGGCTATGGGACCAGACCTGACCCAGCACAGAAAAAAGGGGGCTAGCTGGCCTCAGGCGCAAGGGAGTGTGCTCTCTTTAATGGCATCTCCTACAATTCTGGTGAGAAAACTCACGCTAGAGCGGGCTCAAAGGAATAATGATGACTATGGGGGGATGCAGGGAGAGAGGGAGGGAGCAGACAAGCAACACGGAGATCTTACACAACATTTTCAGTCCTATAAAGCTCCCTCTGAGAGCAAGCCCTAGCGTCAGTTAGGGCCCATGTTAGCAAGGCAGAGAGTGCTCTCAGAGGCCAGGGAGGGACAAACCCCACAGTCATTTTGCACGGAATGACAGTGCCCAGTAGAGAGGCATGTGGGATCCAGGGAGCGCAGGACATGGGCATTCCTAGCACATCTTTTGGCCAGGGAAAGAGTGACCTTGTGCTTTGGAATTCACACGGCCAAAGCTTTGGAGGGTTCTTAGATCCTAGGCAAAGGGACACCTGTTGAAGACGATGTGAGAAATTCAGGAAAATGGTCTATACTCTTCAGAATAAACTGTGTCTTGTGGCGTGGGCTTGACCCACCTTCTTTCCTATACTGGTGTCCAGGTGGGTGCTCTTTCCGGTAACCTTTCCAACTGCCAGGATGCCCACTTCCCAGAACTCACTCTGCCCTTCGCCTTTCTCTGCACCCAACTCTGGGGAAGCTCCCTACACTTCCCAAGGTGACAACTGACTTATCTAAGATACCAGTCCAACGATGGACAAGGGAACAGAAGACATTGTTATTTCTAAAAATTTCTCTTTCTTTAAACTGCACCTGATTCCTCTTCATCAGGCAGGAGCAGACACGACCCCCCTCTCATTTAAAAAGCAACAACACACAAATCAAACCAAACAAAACCCTTGCAACCGTTGAGATGGGCTGTGGGTTCAGCCATTGGCCTCTGCGGTGAGGTACCGGAGTCCCCATTGGCCTCTGCGGTGAGGTACCGGAGTCCCGAACCTCTCACTTGCCCATTCTCTGTTTTTTTTTTTAAAAACCATGTTGAGACACCTCTCCAACTCATTTTTAAGGGCATGACGGCAAACAGGACACAGTTCTCGGTCATGGGAAAAGGCCAGGTCTCTGGCTCAGAAGCATCGCAGTCTTTTCCTGGCACCCTGGGTTCCCATTTCTGCTCGCAGCGTGGTTACACCACTGACCCGCTCAGCTTCTGCCTACTACAGGTCCATTTCTTCCATGTCCTCCCGCCTTATTCTTGTTCCTCTACCCACTGCAGGTGGGAAGATGGGGAGGGCGTGTCGAGCCTGTGTTCTGTTTGATGGTACTTTGATCAAAATACCTGGATCTAATTGATCAGTTTTAGAAAAACTGGCATCTAGAATATATCAACAACTCAATGGTTGTTTGTGTATTCGCATGGACTCAATGTACTTGTTACTTGCCTGTCTGGTTTTCTCTTTCTCTCTCTTTCCTTCTTTTTCCTATTCTTTCCTTCCTTCTGTCCATCCGTCCGTCCATCCAACCTCCCATCATGTTGCACACTTCATTCACACACACAGTTATCTGGCCCTCACTATCTGCCAGGCCCTGGGGGTGTAGGGGTTGACCACTGTGGACAAAGCCTCCTGCTTGCTCTCAAGTTGCAAGGAAAAAAGCGCAAGCAAATGAGTATCTTCCTCTCAAGTCCCGGGTTGGGGAGTGTTATGAAGGAATCAACCAAGTCGGAGGGCCCAGGGGGCTGTTGCGTTAAGCAGGCTGGTCAGGAAAGAACTCTTAGAGGAGGGACAATGAGCTGAATTCCACACCTCAATCCTACCAGGGATCCTAAGAGGCAGGTCTCATTATCCCGTTTTATGGACAAGAAAACTAGAACCCAGGAGGTTAAATATGTGGCTTAAAGCCAGGCAGCAGGGCTGCTGGAGGGTAGAGCTCAGCCTGTCCTCTCTGGTGCTCTGAGGTGTATCAAGGCCCCACCCGGTCTAGGTCCTGCACGGGCCTTGGGGACAGAGAGAAGACCTGAACTGCATCCGCCCCCATTGCTGAGTGGAGAGCCATGCTGGTATGCGTGTGTAGACAGGGCAAGAGCTGCAATGGATACTCTCATGCCGCTCAAGTGATCCCAGACTTAGGCGGATGTGAGATAGGGAGCTCCTTCTACGTGCTGTAAGGCCGATGGAAAAGGCTTCAGTCCTTCTTTCCCTGCCTTGGAAGACCCGCCAGGATAAAGGAGCACCAGCAGGTCCTGGCAGATGCTGAGCTCTGGAACTGGGGAGGCAGAATTGGTATCTCTCTGCTACTGATGCTGGGTCAATGCTTCATAGGGTCTGTCATGCTTGCTCTTATCAAGTAATTTATCCACTGGGAAATGTGGCCACTTTAAAAATAAAAAAAAAAACAAACCTTGCTGCTATTTGAATGTGTTCATTGATTAATTTGTTTTCCTGGTAGGGAAAAAAGAGATAAAAGAGATTTTATACATGCGTGTGTGCATGCGTGTGTGTGTGTGTGTGTGTGTGTGTGTGTGTATGTGTAGAGATTTCCAAGCCGTATCAGACACACGAGCTTGTGAATAGCTAGAAGGTAGGATTGGAGGAGGGCTGGACTAGGGTGTGCAGAAGGGTAAGACGAAGAAGGAAAGAGACCAATTGCCACCATGATTTAAAACAAAGGGGAACATTTTATGTAGGAATACCACAGAAAGTGGCTAAAACAGGAAATCAAGCAAGGGGGTACAAATAGTATTTAAGCAAGAATAAAATGTTTAGAAAAGAAAACTAATGCTAGGTCACTGTTTGGGAACCTGGATCTGGAAATTTGACAAAACTGGGTCTTCTAGGGCAGGGTACCTTGGGATTCTAATGGCCCACATGTCAGTGGGCTGTCTGGCCTGGAAAACCAGGTGTGTGTGTAAATCCCTAGGGGCAATAGAACAGCATTAGTGTTTTCTGATAACTGTGAAGTGCTGTGTGTGTCCCAGTAGGTCACAACACATTTAAAGAGAGTTGCCATTTTCCCAGAGAAATGGCCCAGAAATGTTGATGGCAAATTTGAATATGTGAATTTTTAGCAACATGGATGACAGAGTCCAAAGTACTACAACATACTATCCATTAACTTGGTGAAAAATATTGAAAAGTCCCATTTTAATAAAGAAATATTACTTTTTCTTTTACTCTCCTATATCATGAAACAAAGCTACTCAACGTCTTTACATTTCTCTTTGGTCTCAAGGTCTTTGGTCGACTGATCTTTGACAAAGGTGCCAAGAAAGCCCCACGGGCAAGAATAATCTCTTTAACAAATGGTGCTGGGAAAACTGGATATCCATATGCAAAAGAATAAACCAAACCCTTATCTTCTACTGCTGCAAAAATGAAGTAAAAAATGGAGTAATGACTTAAATGTAAGACTTAAAACTTATAGTTTCAAGAAAATATAGGGGAAAAGCTCCTTGACATTGGTCTTGGCAAAGATTTCTTGGACATGACACAAAAAGCACAGGCAACAAAAGCAAAGATAGACAAATGGGAATACATTGAACTAAAAAGCTTCCTTACAGTAAAGGAAAAATAATCAACAAAATGGAAGGCAACCTACAGATTGGGAAGACATGTTTGTAAACCATCTATTTGACAAGGGGATAATACACAAAATACATAGGGAACTCCTAGAACTCAATAGCAAAAAAAAAAAAAAAAAAAAAAAAGTCCCAAATAACCAGATTAAAGAATGGGCAAAGGAACTGAATAGACACGTCTTCCAAGGAGACATAAAAGGGCCAACAGTTACACAGAAAGACGCTCAGTGTCTCTGATGATCAGGGAGATGCAAATCAAAAGCACAATGAGACATCACTTCATATCAGTCTGAATGGCTAGGATAAAAAATAAAAGCAAAAGATAACAAGTATTGGCAAGGATGTTGAGAAAAGGAAGCACTTGTACCCTTGTACCGTACATTGTGGGGATGCAAACTGAGATGGCCTTTGTAGAAAACAGTATGGAAATCCCTCAAAAAATTAAAAAAATAGAACTGTCATATCACCAGTGGTCCTACTTCTAGGTATATATCCCAAGGAGCTGAAATCAGCTGAAATCTGGAAGAGATTTCTCAACTCCCATGTTCACTACAACTTTATTCACAATGCCCAAGACATGGAACCAAACTGTGTCCACTGATGGACAAATGGATAAAGAAAACGTGGTAGGCACATAGAGCGGAAGAGGACTCAGCCTTAAAAAGAAGGAAATCCTGCCGTTTGAGACAACGTGGATAAGCCTGGATGACATTACCCTAAGAGAAATCAGTCAGATACAGAAAGACAAATACTGCACCATCTCCCTTATATGTGGAATCTGAAAAAGTGGAACTGATAAAAGCAGAGAGTAGAATGGTAGTTGCCAAGAGCTGGGGAAGGGACGTGCTTGGGGGAGGCATTAGTCAAAGAGTGCAAAGTTTCAGTTATGCAAAGCAACTCCTAGAAATCGACTGTACAACAGAGTCTACAGTTAATAATACTCTTATGCTATGCTTAAAATTTTGCCAAGATGGTAGATTCTATGTTAAGTGTTATCTCTCTCTCTCTCTCTCTCTCTCTCTCTCACACACACACACACACACACACACACACACACACACGAAGAGGCTAGGAAGAAACTTTTGGACATGATGAATGTGTTTCTGGCATCGGCCATGGTGAGGGTTTCTTGGATAAGTGTGTATTTCCAAGTTCATCAA